GTCCCCCGGTGCTGCCGGGTTTGTGGGGCAGCACCTTGGGGTTCCCTGTCCCTCCCAGAGCTGCWCCGGGCTCTGATTCACCGCCCGTGCCCAGCTCGGGCCGCTCCGAGCCGATCCCAACCCTCCCTGCCCCATTTTCCAGGGATTTTACGGGGTTGTAAAACCGGCTGGGAGCAGAAGCTCTGCCCGTCCCTGTTTTTGGAGGGTTTTCCGGGGCTGTAAAAGCCGCTGGAAGCAGAAGCTCTGCCCGTGCCTATTTTCCGAGGATTTTCCGGGGCTTTAAAACCCTCTGGGAGCAGAAGCACTGCCCATCCCTGTTTTTGGAGGATTTTCCAGAGTTGTAAAACCTTCTGGGAGCAGAAGCTCTGCCCGGTCCCTGTTTTTCGGGAATTTTTCGGGGTTGTGAAGCCCGCTGGGAGCCGAATCTCTGCCCGCCCCTGTTTTAGTGGAATTTTCCGGGGCTGTAAAACCCGCTGGGAGCAGAAGCTCTGCCCGTCCCTGTTTTTCGGGCGATTTTCCGGGGCTATAAAACCCTCTGGGAGCCGAATCTCTGCCCGTCCCTGTTTTTGGGGGATTTTACTGGAGCAAAAGCTCTGCCCGGCCCCGTGAGGGGACAGCCCAGCCCTTGACCTGTCCGAKCAGGGGGTGACAGCACCGATGGCCTCTCCCCGCGCAGGGAATGYCCCTCCGGGCGTGGACCCCGAGGCGCTTTCCTGGTTCCAGACGGTGGACRCGGATCGCAGCGGATTCATCTCCGTCAAGGAGCTGAAGCAGGCGTTGGTCAACAATAATTGGTCCTCGTTCAACGATGAGACCTGCYTGCTGATGATCAGTGAGTTTGGGATCTCCCGCCCCTCCCGTCGTGGTTTTATGGGGTTTATTTGGGTTTGGGGTGAAGCCAAATCCCGGAGCATTCCCCTTTTCCGCGGTGGAGCCAGAGCTGGGCGAAGCTCGCAGCTCCCGGTGGTGAAAATCCCAAAATCCTGCTTGGRAAAGGAAATCCCCAATCTGTGCAAGCCCCAGACCCCACAAAGACAGGCAGGGGGAAGAAGGGAGACCCCAAAAAACGCCGCGACTGACCCCGAGCTCAGCTTTCCGTGCTGTTTCTTACCACCCTCGGGGGTCGAACGCTCCCATTCGTGGTGAGGGGGGAATTTTGGGATCAGAGCAGGATTCCAGGGAGCCGTGGCGCGGATCCTGAGCTCCGTGGGAGTTCCTGCAGCCTTCCCTGCCCTRTTCCCTGCCCAGACATGTTCGACAAGACGCGCTCGGGGCGCATTGATGTCTACGGCTTCTCGGCCCTGCTGCGCTTCATCCAGCAGTGGAGAAATCTYTTCCAGCAGTACGACAGGGATCAGTCCGGCTCCATCAGCTTCGGAGAGCTCCAGCAAGGTGGGTGACGGGCAGAGGGGCCGGCCTGGCCTGTCCCGAGCTCCACACGGCTCTGTTCCCAGCTGGAAATTGGGATTCCAAACGGGAGGGGTGTCTGTTGATGGGCTGGGGGGGTCTGAGCGCCAAATTTGGGTAAATCAGGATGGCATGGAGGGAAGGGAGCTGCACAAATTTCCTTCAGGAATCACGGAATTCTCCCTCAGTGATGGGTGGCTGGGTGTGGGTTTTTGGGAGGAGGTCCTGGGCGTGTGTGAAGGGAAAAAAAAACCGCCTGGAATTTGTGTTTTGATCCYTCTGGAGAGCCCGGCCCGTGGCACACCCTGGGTGGGAAATGTGGGAAGGGTGGGGGGAGTGGGA